TTTAGGGTTGTAGGGTTTAGAGGTTTAGGGCTTAGAGTTTTAGGGTTTACGGTTTTAGGGTTTAGGGTTTAGAGTTTTAGGGTTTAGGTCTTTGGGGTTTAGGGTTTAGGGTTTTAGGGTTGCGGGTTTAGGTTTAGGGTTTAGGGTTGAGGGTTTCGGCCTGGAAGATCATGAAAGGCAGCGAGGGTGTGGCCATCAGAGGATGGCAAAAGCGGTAAGCAGCTCGCTAAAGTTAAGACAGCCTCCAAAGGCTGCCCGGAGCCGGCAGATGACGGCTCTTAGAGGCCGGAGGGCACAGGGGCAGTCTTCTGATGAAGCAAAAGCCACCGGGAGTAAACTTGTGAGAACTTACACATACATTTGAAACATTGCCTGCCCCCTACCTTGCGTGGCGCGCAGTGTACTACAGCATCCTATACTATACTATTCTATATCGTATATAGTAGTGATGATTAATGTGTATGTGTAGATAGGTACAAATGCTCTTTTTATCTCTTCCCTATACACCCTGACCTAGTCGCGGCTGTGCTCTGTGCACATTGCCAGAGACCATTAGCCTGCATTGTCGAGGGTTTTCAAAGGCTCTTCGTGGTTGTGCCGTCGAGTTTAGGGTGGTGAGTTCAAGGTGCAGAATATAGTGAGGTGCAGAATTTAGTGAGTTGGAGTATCAGAGTGGCCCAGTATACGGCTGGTGCGATAGACAGGCCCCTACGGGGTGGCACCTGCAACGCCGCAAGTGCGTGAGCCAAGAAGTCTTTTGCATGCTGCTGGCGCAGCATGAACTCACATGACAGGCACAGCTTTCAACACCCCCACGCGAGTGTTGAAGGTCAGTGTAAAAAATCATTCAGGCCCCACACGCAGGTAGAAACATGATTTCAGGCATACAGGTCTGGGTCCACATGCCATGCAGCTGCCAGTCGCTCTGAAGTGTGCACACAGTTGGCCAGGTGTAAGTCTGGGCATCCGCCGTTGAGACCGTACCAACATGTTCCAGCGCATACCACTCACTCCAGATTTGCCATGCCGTCCACAGTTGTGAAGCTCAAGCCCCGTCGCAGGAAGAAGCAGCGTGTAACATAATTGCGTCGCGAGAAGCCAGGTAAAGCCATAAGTGCGCAGCAGTCCTTGTGAAGGCTTTCCAACAGTAGTCGCCTCAGTCTCGCCCGTCACAGGTGGCCCCATCCTCCAATCCAACTCATCGGAACCGGACTCCTTCCTGGGAGATCAAGGAGCTCGGATGGACATGCAGAAAACCCTCAGCCCTAAACCCTAAACCCAAAACCCTAAACCCTAAACTCAAAACACTAAGCCCAAAACCCTAACCCAAAGCACTAAATTTAAAATCCAAAACCCCAAACACAAACCCTAAGCCCAAACCCTAAGCCCTTAAACCCTCATCATCTGGGTCACCTGAGGCCTGGCTTCCATGCTTTTGCCTTCGTTTTCTGTGCCCGGTTTTAGGGGTTTTAGGGGTTTTAGGGGTTTTAGGTGTTTTAGGGTTTTAGGGTTTAGGGTTTAGGCCTGAGGCCGCCAAGCCACCAATGGAATTCCAGTAGTTGTCCTGACACATCCTGCGGATCTGCGGCTGAGCGTGGCTTTGCGGTCATAGAGTTGGGCACGTAAGATTGCCTAAAGGATTACCCATGCGATTGCAGGGGATCCTTATCATAACGATGATATGGTTTCTGCCAGGGTCCCCAACCAACGTGGGTCGCTGGACTTCACGATGGTTTTTGAATGGAGCTGTGGACACGCTCGTCCGATGGTGTACTGTCAGTATGGCCGTTACAAAGAAACCGAAACCACGGAGAAGAGCGCCAAGGCCCCGTCCTGCATGCATAGTGTTCCGCATGCTCATCAATGTGCGCCCCTAACTGCTGACATGAACCGGCCAGCACAGCCAGAGCATCGTAAGCATTGAGTCGGACGGACCAGTCGTCATGTTGGCAACCTATCATGATCTCATCAGCAATGCGCTGGTAGAGGTGAGGAACCTTCAGGAAGGAGTCTTCACTGGCCAAGATGAGCAAGCACATCCAGCCTCAGGTGGGAAAACGCATCACATCATCCAAGTGGGAATGCCATGGCAGGCTGAATTGAAGACAGGAGAGTCTTTCACGAAGCTTCACATGATGCATGTGGCGGTCCCAGCCAAGCAGCCACGAAACGACTCCGCCAGTGGTTCCAGTTCGGGCCGCTTCGGGAGGTCAGTCGGCAGACCGCGTAGGCCCAAGTACAACAGGTCATCACAATTCTCGAACACGTTCCTCAACAGAACTATACAGAAATAGTCTCCAGACTGCAGCAGAACAAGTACCCATCGAAGCTGCCGCGGGCCCAGCACTCTGAGGAAGTCACGTAATGCTTCCCGCCACTTGCCTGAGATGCTGCAGCAAGGCCTGCACCCGAAAACAGTCAGTTCCAGACAACGCCCCCAGCGCCGTGCAGCATGTGCAGAGGCCTTCGGCTCGGTGGCGGTCCGGGACACCGCGCGGAAGCTCAAAATGTCCGACACCTGTCAGCACTCCACAGAGAGCCCGTGCCGGCGCGCCCATTTCCGAGCCCGTTCTGTGATCACAGAGGCGAAGGCCGGCAGAGCGCTCAGCACTTCCATCACTAAGGACCTCAGCTGTCCCCACAGATTTCGCGACCGAAAGGCCCCGCTGCTAACACGAAGGCTGAGCGCAGGCACTCGGACATGCCCCGCGGGAAGTCCTGGCCAAAATTGTGTAGTTTGAAGGGCTTCAAGTGTTCGGAATGTAAAAAATTCCCCAACTTGCTGTGCAGGCTGAGGGCTACGAACATGGGGAGAAGGGGTGGGTTAAACGGCACCCTTGCACCCTGCCGCGACACTCATTAAGGTGGTTTACTTGCAGGTTCGCAGGTTCATGGGTAGTTATAGGTATCCCTAGGTTACCCTACTTACAACTCCACCTATAACTACCCATTAAAACCCCCAAGTAGGGTTTAAGGGCTTAGGGGACGCTAAGAAACTCAGCAGACCGGCATCCTTGGAGCTGGGAGCAGACCAACATCCGCCCAGGAAGCTGCAAAACCTGCTTTCGTCGAATTCGTAGGTTTAGGGTCGCGGGTTTCGGATTTAGGGTTCTAGGATTTAGGGGTTTTATTTAGGGTTTGGGACATGTGTGGCCTGGCTTGCAGCTTTCCAGCCTCGTCCACGTGCCGACCGCTTCCTCGAGGACCAGGCAAAGACCGTCCTCTCGCCCAAAACAATCCCAGCGCAAAGTTTCACGGACACGCACAGAGACAGAGACAGAGAGACAGAGAGACAGAGTAATTGAGTGAGTGAGTGAGTGAGTGAGTGAGCGAGTCAGTGAGCAGTTAGTTCGTGAGTTGGTTGGTTCGTTGGTTCCTTAGTTCCGGCATTCGTTCGTTCGGTCGTTCGTTCGGTCGGTCGGTTGGTGGGTAGGTAGGTAAGCAGGCAGGTAGGTAGGTAGGTAGGTAGGTAGGTAGGCACGTAGGTAGGTAGGTAGGTAGGTAGGTAGGTAGGTAGGTAGGTAGGTAGGTAGGTAGGTAGGTAGGTAGGTGGGTAGCTAGCTAGCTACCTAGCTAGCTTAATTAAGTATTTTGCTAGTAAGTTAGTTAACTAGCTAGCTATCTAGCCAGTTAGTTAATTAAGTAGTTAGTTAGTAAGTTAGTCAGCTAACTAGCTAGGTAGCTAGCTAGATAGTTAGTTAGTTAGTTAGTTAGTTAGTTAGTTCGCTCGTTCGTGAGTTCGTTAGTTCGGTAGTTCGCTTGTTCGTTCGTCCGTTCGTTAGTTCAGTTAGTTAGTTAGTTAG